ATTCCTATTTGTCACTGGAGGAAATTGAAGCATAAGACATTTCAAAGCCCTCAGCTAGTAAGTGCAGAACTGAGACTCAAACACAGTTGGCTCCTGAGTTTATTCTTTTTAACCTCTGTGTTCTGATTTTATGTCCCAAATTACTAAGTATTAACTATTCTTTCCCCTTAAAAAAGTTTAATAATAATAATAATTTTGTGCACTTAAAGCATGGTTCTAGTTACAGGTTGTTTTTCAAATTTTATTGGAAACCTCATTCCTTGAGGGTAGCGTATTATTCTATCATCTGGCCTACTTTCTCTAGAAAATAAATTCAATTTAGTGTGAGTTCCTTTATGTATTAAATATTTGAGTAAGTTCACAATTTGAAAGCTGACATTTCCCTTCAGATTTTATTGGCTAAGAGCTTCTTGGAGAGAAATCACATAATCTCACTTACATGTGCTCATCTAAAGCCAGCTCCCTCCTGGCACTGTTCTGAATCAAGAACTAAAGTCCTGGGCTCCTGTATTCCAAGCAGAGCCTCTGAAAATCATCACCTTGATGTCCCCTGTTCACAGATGTCATAAAAAGTGTCTGAAAGCTAGAAGCCTGGTCCAAGCTTGTCAGGCAAACAAAGAGATTTATTCAATTTTTTAATAAATTGTTTTATTTAACTTTATTTATTTACTTACTTATTTACTTACCTTTGATCAGAGAGGGATAGCATGAGAAAAAGAGAGTGAGAGAACAAATCTCCAGGTCCAGGACTTGAACCATGGGGTCAGCCATGTGGGAGTCCAGCACCCTTAACCACCATGCCACCCGCTGGCCCTGAGATTTATTCAAATTAAAGCACGAGGATAGGCCACCCAAGAGCAGATACTTCGGAAGACTGTAACTGATGCTCCAATATGGCAGAGGTTGGGTTTTGTTTTGTTTTACATTCAATCATTGTATATCTTTACAGTGTACAAAATGATTTTTATTTTAAAAGGATTATTCATCTAATTTTATTTATTTATTTATTTGACCAGAAGAGACAAAGAGAGGGAAAGTAAGAAAGCAACCTCCAGGTCCAGGATTTGAACTGTGGTCAGCCATGTGGGAGTCCAGCACCCCACATGGCCTGCCAGCCCCAATATGGTTTTTCTAAGCATGCATGTGTGCATGTCAGTCAAGTCACAGATATTACATATATACCATTTTCAACAGGTAACTTGACATTCTTGTATTCATTAAATGTTTTTTCCCTGAGGCCCTCCCTGTCAACCCCTACTATCCACCTTTTCCTATGTAGTTACTGGATCTACACTTGCCCTCCACAAAAGGAAGGGTTTTGTTTGTTAAGTTTTTTTTTTTAGAATTGTTTATTTAATTTTATTTATTATTATCATTTTTAATTTTGCTGTAGGCCATGTGCACTTATAAGGGAAAGTGAGAAAGCAAGTTACCAGTTCTAGTCTGTGGTCGGCCATGTGGGAGTCCGGCGCTTTAGCCCCTGCACCATCTGCTGGCCCAGAAGAAAGATTTGGTTTTTGTTTCTTAGTTTATTTAACTTTATTTATTTATTTATATTTATTTTTAAATTTGACCTGAGGGGGCAGAGAGAGAGAGAAAGTAAGAAATCAAGCTATCAAGTCCGGGACTTGAAACATGGTCAGCCATGTGGGAGTCCAGTGCCCTTAACCTCTATGTCACCTGCAAGTCCCAGAAAGGTTTTTAGTAGGGAAAATTGGGAAAAAGGAGAATAACAAAAGTTTGCTTTTTCTTAAGAACTCACACACTGTTTCATAAAAACAGCATGAGTTTCTAGTTGGCTTTTCATATTTCCACATATGTGTTAGTAGCATAGCTACAAGCAGGAGGTGGGATTAAATGAGCAGTCCACAGTCTACGGTAATTCAGGGGACTTCGACTTTATGTCAGCGGGTCAATGAATTTTTTGTTAAGATGTCCTTGAGTGATTTCTTCAGACAGGTATGTGGGGAACATAACTGAGTCTTCATACACTTCATTCACCCAGAGAGCTGGGGCCAGGTTTCATCCAGTTCTCTTAGTTTTCAGCTAATCTTTCATTCTCAAGGCCTTATACTGGTTAACACACGATTATTTAGTCCAAATCTACTTAGATGTCTAGGACAACAATCTTTTGTGCCACGGCCCAAAAATATGTAAGTTAGTTTACAGGCCAAAAAATTCCAGCCAGTCTGTGGGAGAGTCTTCTCGATTCCCTAAAAATTGAAAGATGTTAGCAGTTATATCTTATATTCTAAGTCCGCATACCTCTCAAGGCTCAGTAAACTCAAATGCTTTACTATTTCTTTGTTTTTTAAAGAATTATTTTATTTAATTTTACTTATTTATTTATTTTTAATTTGATAAGAGACAGACAGAATGAGAGCAAGAACTAGAGCGAGAGCGAGAGCGAGAGAGAGAGAAAGTGAGAAAGCAAGTCGCCAGGTCCAGGACTCAAACTGCAGTTGGCCATGTAGGAGTCCAGCATCCTTAACCACCACGCCACCTGCCAGCTCCCTCCAACGCTTTACTATTCTTATGTCCAGTCTCATACAGGGTGCCCCCTTTGGGAATATTTTTTGGCTTGTTTAAAAATAATTTACTTAATTTGATTTATTATTATTATTATTTTAAATTTGCTATAGGGCATGTGTACTCACCAGAGAGAGACAAGAGAGAGTTAGAGAAAATAAGAACACAAGCTACTAGTTTTTGGACTTGAACTGTGGTTGACCATTTGGGAATCCAGCACCTTAACCACCATGCTGGCCTTGGGCATCTTTTATTTAATAACTAATATGGGGGTGCTGGCAGGTGGCGTGGTGGTTAAGGTGCTGGACTCTCACAGGTTGGGAACCTTGTGGTTCGAGGTCTGGACTTGGTAGCTTGCTTTCTCACTTTTCCTTATTTTTTTTCTCTCTCTGGTCAAATTTAAAAATAAAAATAACAAAATTAAATAGATAATTCTTTAAAAATATTAATGTGGTTGGATTGTTTCAAAAGGAGCAAGAAAATAGGGGGAAAGAGAAAAACAGATTTACATCAGTCTATCCTCACCAACTAGAATAGAGAAGGTTCTGGAAAAGCTTTGAAATCATCATGGATGTTGGGGAGGAGGTTTACTGGAGCAGACTTCAAAAGTTCACAAAAAAATGGAATTAAAGTATGAGTTTATTTTGTCACAAGAATATTTGAAACCCAGACCAGCAGATGGCACAATGTTTACATTGCTGGACTCCCATGTAGTTGACTGTGGTTAGAGTCAAGGACCCAGTGGATTAAACCTCACTCCAGGTGCATGTGCTTGTGTGCCCAAAATCCCGAGGGGAGAATGGAGGAGAAGGGACTGTGGCATAGCCATCCGTCCAGGGGGTGATTTCTCACTTTCAGTTTCTCTGTCTCTTCAGTGAGGGCACACGCCCTATAGCAAAAACCTCTCAAAAAAAGAAAAAATTTGAAACCCGTGTATAGTTTTCTCATAATATATATTTTCCATAAACTTTTTGCACATTGCATGTATCAATCTGTACCAGATGTTCTACTTATTAAAAAGTCTTGGGAACCAGCAGTTAGCGGAATGGCTATGTCGCTGGACTCCCACATAGTCGACCGCGGTACACGTCCCGGACCTGGTGGCTTAAAACTCACGCCGGATGCGTGTGGTGCATGCCCAAGATCCTGAGAGGAGAATGGAGGAGAAGGGATTGCGGCGTGACCATCCTCCCTGGGGGGTGATTTCTCGCTTTCTGTCTCTATGTCTCTCTCTGTCTGTCTGGCGAGCACACGTGCCCTATAGTGAACAACCTCTCCAAAAAAAAAAAAAAAAAAATCTTCAACTCCATTGCTTAAGTGTTCTACAAACTGGAAGCAAAATTAACACTAGAATAGCATCTTCGTTTTACATGATAAATAAACTTAAAGCTCTGCATTAAATATAGATCTGCAATGGAACCCTAATCTAGTAGTGAGGCAGGATTCTCAAGCAGATAAATAAGTAGGATTCAAACATCATTTCAAATGTATCCTGCCTTTGGTTTACTACTTGACTGCTGTTTGATACTTCCAATTTTTAGGACTATTTTCCCACTTTTCTTATGCTTATAATGCTTTTCAGAGGTAGAAAAGTATATCATTGTAATTTTAATATTTCCACATATAAATATGCACTCGTGTGAACTGTATGAAAGTTCATGAAAAATGTGTATTAGGAAACATTATGCAAGGATTTCAAAATGTTTTGCACCAAAATAAACTTGTACTTTAATTCCATTTTTTATGAACTTTTTGAAGACCCCTGTCATATCATTAGTATGAGTTATTTCTACAGTCATTATTAATCGATGTCCATTATTGTCTCTAAGTCACTGTTATTACATAATTTATTTCCTATTATATCTAGCTATACTATATTACCTAGATATACTTTCAGAGTAATGAGACTAGAAATAAATTCTGGAAGCTCAGCTGAGAACAAATATTGAAAAGTTTCCTGTTTTTCAACTAAGTCTTACACATTATTCACTCTGCATTTTCTGAAATAAATGCAGTCCCCCGCCCCCCCCCAAAGGAGAGAAATACTCTTTTGTGTATTTAACGACAAAATATACCTGAGTGTGAATTCTGACTTTACTGTTAGCTGTATGGACCATTTACACTTTCTGAGGCTCAATTTTATCATCAGCAAATAGGGAATAATAACAGATAAAAATAGCTAATAGAGTTTGGAGAGACTCCAGTAAGAATGTATGAAAAGCACTTATCTGAGTGCCTGGCACTTAAACATTAAACAAATTACTCCCCTTTCCTCTGTGTGAGGGCTGAGTGCCCAAATGATGGTTGAACACCTCTTCCCTCAGGCTTAGCAGCTGAATGGTAAGATAATCAACCCCAGATTTCTTAGTAATGAGCTTGTACTCATTTGAACGATAAAAAATACTGAATTTTCTGCTGATTTGTGTAAGGCCAGTGGTAAGATGTTGCTAATTATGTTTTTACCCACCCAGGTCAGAAGTTATATCAAGAAAGCTCGTGCTGAAGGGGCCCAAATTCTTTGTGGTGAGGGAGTGGATACGTTGGATCTTCCCCCTAAAAATCGGGCAGGCTACTTCATGCTTCCCACAGTGATAACAAACATTACGGATGAATCCTGCTGCATGAAGGAAGAGATATTTGGCCCAGTGACGTGTGTCGTCCCCTTTGATAATGAAGAGGAAGTGATTAAAAGGGCCAACAACGTCAAATATGGGCTGGCAGCTACAGTGTGGTCCAGCAACGTGGGACGCATCCACCGAGTGGCTAAGGGTTTGCAGTCAGGCCTGGTGTGGACCAACTGCTGGCTCATCAGAGAGCTGAATCTTCCTTTTGGGGGGATGAAGAGTTCTGGGATAGGTAGAGAAGGAGCCAAGGACTCTTATGAGTTCTTCACTGAAATCAAAACCATCACCGTTAAACATTGATCTTTGCCCGTGGCGAAGGTATTACATCCATGTCTAGCTGCAGAAAATTAGCTGTCCAATGTGGTGAATGAAAATAATGATTTAAATTCCAGTCACGTCTCGACGACAGAAAGTTATCTCTAGTTTTTCCTTGGGGGTTAGTATTTTTTACCCTCTGGTAAAGAGATCCTGTATATTTTCAGTGTGGATCAGAGAAGACTTCTGACTCAGAAGGCACAACGAGGAGGCCAAACAATCATCTGGCTTCTCTCATGTTGTCTTTTATTTTTATTTTCTTCATCATTTTGATTGAATTCTTGAGAATCCCCAGATAATCTGATATTTTTATTTGTAAGCCTATGGTTTTTAAGAAAGTCTATGAAGCCAAACAGGAACTCTAACTTTTTACTATTGGGCCAATTGTGGAGCTGGTCTGCTCATTCATTAGCCACCAGCATGCCTAATGGCTATACAATAGCCACAGCAATTGGCTATACCTATCACATAAGGCGTGGTGGATGCCTACTGAATTTGTCAGAGAAGGCCTACGTGGTTGGTCCTGCTAAATATATTTGTGTAGGACAAAGAAAAATAAAGTACTACTTTCAGGGGAACTTGAAATAAAAAGAGAAAATACTTTGATCCATTCCTACTGTAGAGTCTAATCAATTCAAATTCTTACTTTATATATCTAAAAAACCTTACAATTTATTAATCCTAAAAGGAGTAGTAAATATCAAGCAATTTGTAACAAGCATGGCATCTGTCACTTTTTTGAGTTGTCCTTTATTCCTCCTTGTCCCTATACTCTTAGAAGTATAGATGTCTTATTAAGCAATGAACTTATTTCTAATGTTGTTTTTCTGGGTTGCCCAAAGGATTATTGGAGAAAACAGAGGTTTACAGAGATTAAGAAAGCATACATAGGGAACCAGCAGTTAGCGTAATGGCTATGTCGCTGGACTCCCACGTAGTTGACCGCGGTTCACGTCCCGGACCCGGTGGCTTAAAACTCACGCCGGGCGCGTGTGCGTGCGTGCCCAGGATCCCGAGAGGAGAATGGAGGAGAAGGGATTGCGGCGTGACCATCCCCCCTGGGGGGTGATTTCTCGCTTTCTGTCTCTATGTCTCTCAAAACTTCCCCAAAAAAAAAAAAAAAAAGAAAGCATACATAAAGTCATACAAATTGTATGGGACAGAGGTAGGATTTGAACCCAGGGCTCTCAGACTGCAAAACCCACAATCTTTTGCCCATCCATACTTCCTTGGATGGTGCTCTGGAAGCAACACAGTACTTGTGACTTTTGGCATGTATCATGGCATATTGGGGGTGAGTGGGTCTTCCTGCCAAGGCTCCTTTCTGCTTTGCCTCTCCTCTCCTCTCCCATCCTGACTGGTCTACTCAGCATTGCAACCTAGGAGCTCCCACAGCCCTTTCCGCACTGCTGGAAGTGATGTTTGCTTGTCTGACTCTATAACAACAGGAATTATTGAAGCCCAAGGCCAGGTCCCTCCCCTCAGAAATCTCAATTCACAGTATAGTGCTTGCACACAGAAGGTGCTCAAAACAAGTTCTGGAGATGAAATGAAGTCTCCCTGGTGCTCAGGAGTACTGATTGCCTGGTTGGTATGTATTTGTGGTTGGATGATGTGGAATGGAGCAGACTAAGCTTTAGAATTTTGCTTAGGATTTCAGATATATTGACTTGTTTGCAAATGCTGAGAAATATAAGCCAGCCCCTTGGGATCAGGTGATGGCATTGGATTACATTGACTCCTGGCTTCTAATTCTTCTCTTTCCTTTCCTTGCCCCCTTCCCCCCTAAGCTCAGCCTCCTTGACCTTGATCAGTTTAATCCAGAGCTGGTTCTGAGCTCAGGAGGAATTTCAGCAGTGCCAATCTGTAGGCCTCTGCATTTTTGCTCTTGTGATCTGGCCCAACATCATTCTCATTCCTGAGGCCTAAACCATATCCTGACTCCAAATTCTGGCAACTGACTTTCCTTGCTCCCTTTACTTGCAAACCTACCTGCCACTTGTATTCTGCCTAGGACACTGTTCTCTCTAAGACTCAGAGCCAGCCCTGCACACCTGACTCTGGATCTTGCCAGTGAAAGGGCCCACCTGCTCGCAGACATTGTTTTCTCTGTTTCTGTCTCTTTGGATTAGTAGAAGCACCATGTAGGTTCATAAGACAATCTCATTAGTGTGTATTTTACCAGTGCTATTCTTCCACTCTAATACTGTCCCAGGTCTCCGTTGCTGTGAACATTGCCTCTAGTGACCTCGCATCCGAGTCCATCCTTTTTCAGTCTGTTCTGTCCCTTGGATGGGTGCATATAGATATAAGACCTTGCTCTTCCTAGGCCATCCATGCTGTCTAAGTTTCCCACACCAGCTGAAGGTGCTATTCTGGTCTGTGCCTATGTATGACAGAGTACTACCAGACTGGGCATCAGTGGTGTAGGGGCTGCCATGCCTCTACCAGGCTGCACTCTGAACTGATGATGAAGAAAATCAGGAAAGGATGTTCACAGGGTTGCAATTATATTTGTAGAGTTTTATTTCTAAGCTAGATGATGCAACACATGAGTAGTCACTGTATTGTTTCATAAATCAGAAATATTTATGTGTCAAAAAAGGGAACTGGACCATAATAAAGCCAGGAGAAGGCATAGAGGGTGAAAGGTTGTGGGATCTTCTCACAGAGCCCAGAGGTCCCAAACTCAGAAACATCAAAGATGGACAGCAGACACTTATGGGGCTAGAGCAAGAATGGTTGAGTTGTCCTTCTCAGACTTCAATGTACTTCGAAATCAGTGTGGACTGCTAAAATACAGATTCATACCCCTCGAAGATGTGCAACAATTAAAGGTAAATAAATTATAAAACAAAATAGAAAAATATTTCAGATTCAGATTCAGTAGGTCTGAGGTGGGGCCTGAGGTTACACTAGGAGTGCCAAGGAATCAGAAAATGCCCTGTGAAATCCTGGCTTGGGTGCCTCCTCAACTCCCAGGTTTGGGAGAAGCTGGCTACAGCATTTGTTCTGTTCTCTGCCAGAGACAAAGGATGTGCTCAAACTCCAGAGCAGAATGTCTTCCTGGGGGAAGGTCTGCAGTGTGGCACACAGTCCGAGATAGCTCTAGACCTTCCATGCACCTTCACAAAGGAGGAAGGGAAAGGCAGGTCCATTCGGGAGTAAATGCACTACCGATTTTCACCAGCCAAGGTAAAGGCCTCCTGTAATGGGTGATGAGGGTGGAAGTCAACTGTCCACATATTCTAAAAAGAAGGTCTCTGACCTGACCACTCACACACTGAGAAGGTAAAGTTTGTCATTGGGGCTTATGGGTAAATTCTTTCTCCAAAATGCAAAAGATGTTGGCCAACTACCTAAGCGGATCAATCAACATGCTTTTTATTAAAAGTTATTACCAGTTAGGGCCTACAGGTGATGTGGTGGTTTAGGTGCTGGACTCCCACATGACCAACAGTGGCTCGAGTCCTGAACCTAGCAGCTTGAAAATCATACTGGATGCATGTGTGTGCATGCCCAAAACCCCGGGAGTAGAATAGAAAAGGGATTGAGGCATGGCCATCCTCCCTGGAGGGTGATCTCTCAGTTTCCCTCTCACTGTCTCTCTCCAGCAAGTGTATGTACTCTAAGGCAAAAACCTTGGGAAAAAAAAAAGTTACTACCAATCAACCAAGGTGACCATTATTTTTGGTAAAACAAAAATACTAAGATGTATGAAAGAACAACTGACTACAGGATAAACAGATAAAAGAAAGTAAGAAGACATCAGATGTTGACTTATTCTTCTCAGAGATATAAAGAGATAGCGTATTCATAAATATAAATAGGCTGCTATGGAAAAGAAGCAAGCAGAGAATATAATACAGGTTTTGAAAAATTTAACATCATATCCCCAAATAAATATTTTGTAGTGAATAGAATTGAATCATTTGTATAACTGAAAATAAAATTAGTAATCTGGAAGATTAAGTTGAGAGAATAACTCAGAATGTAAAGAATGACAGAAAGGGAAAATACGAGAAACTCTGAGATAAAGAATAGATTTAGAAAGCAATTAATATGCACATCTGAGAAGAGAGTGAAGGTAAAAGGGAAAAATAAAGAAGGAAATTAAATAATAAAAGACAATTTCTCTCAACTAAAGTTAAAAAATACTTTTTAGGTGGAAAACACCATGTACCAAGAAATATTCTGTTGACGTGTAAAAATTCCTAGCATAAAGCTTGCAGGGAAAATGAACAGAATAACAAGTATAAGCTTGTCATCACACTTTTCATTAATAATATTGATGCCAGAGGAGAGAGCAGCAAGACTTAAAAGTTAATCAGAGAAATTATCTTGCACATAAATTCTATAGCAGGCGAAAGTGCTATGTGAGAATGAAGGCCAAATAACTTATTTAATGACTCAGAAAGTTTTTCCCTATTTATTACATTTCCTAGTATGATGTCAGATGTAAAGCAGTAAAAGGAAAAATAAATCCAATAAACAGAAAAAACTGAAGAATCAAATGAAAGAAATTTCAGGTGGTCAGCTAAAAAAAAAAAAAAAAGGAGGGATCTAGAAAGCAACTGGCACAAATCAAAACAGAAAAGATAGGAGCTAGTTATGAAAGAAAGCCTTTAAGAAGAACATGGATTGAAAAATACGTTTAACAATGTGAAAGATCTTAGGTGTGTAAACTGGTTAAAGGGAATCAGAATGTGCCATCCCAAAATATGCTGCTTTAGCATAGTGATTAATTTTTATTTTCATTTTGTAGTTTTTGCTTTAGGCCATATGCACTTACCAGAGACAGAGAGAAAGAAAAAGAGAAAGTGAGAAATCACCCCCAAAGGATGACCATGCCATAATCCCTTCTCCTCCATTCTCCTTTCTGGATTTTGCACATGCACACACATGCATCTGGCATGTTTTTCAAGGCACTCAAATAATACAGGTGGCCATGTGGGATCCAGCCACTTTAACCTCCACGCCACCTGCTAGCCCTCATAGTGAATATTTTGAGCTGAAGGCAATTAAGAGAAAGCTCTCTGTCTTTCTCCATTTGGCTAAAAGTAGGGCATACATTTCCTTTGTAAAGGCGTCTCCCTCTCTTGTACCAGGAAGGGAAGAACCACCTTTGTCACTGGAATTGGTGATAGCACTAAGGTGAATCTGAATAAACAAACTGAGTAACCTTTATCTTCCATTAATGTCCCTCTTCCCACAATTTACCACTTCTAGAAGCTCAAACTCCTTTTCGATTGCCTTGTCACTTCTCCACAGTTTATCTCCCTCTGTCAAAATGGTATAAAGGTCTCTGAGATTAACTGCTTCTTTGGATCATTTTCTTTGAAGGATTTCGTGCATGTAATAACTAAAATAATAACATTAAATAAAATTCACATGACTTTTCTCCATTAACCTGTCTTTTGTCAGTCAATCACAGAACACGTGAGTAAAAGGGAAAAAAAAATCCCTTTCTATGGTTACTCTATTCATAGAATAAAGAGAACAAAAATCAATTTAGAAGTCATAATAAGATGAAGTAAACTGAAATATGACATGACTTGCAAAAACAGGAGGGATATTAGTAAAAGAAATTAATTTTTTAATCTTTTATTGGATGAATTTTTTTGTAACATAAAATCACTTTCTATCTTTATGGACTGAACATACTTCTTTATTCTGGAATTAATACTTATATAATCTTTTTGTTTTCTTTTGAGAGAGA